AGTACTGTGCAGAGAAACGGTGACGCACAGCTCCATGGGGCGGGGCCTGAGGACAGCCAGGGAGGCATGTGTGCTGGTCCATAGCCAGCCGATGCCGCGGCTGGGCTGTGGTGTCCCGGCCCTGCTGTGTGCTCTCCCTGTCTCTCCATCTCTATCTCTCTCTGTCATGCTTGCTCACGGAAGGAGTAAATACGCCATTACAAGACGCTGTATAAAGGTGTAACCCCTTTTATAGACCTCGACATACAGTGAGAAGAGAGGTCCCTGATGGCAAGTGTGAGGTCAGGGCGAGAGGACACGGCCCTCGTGGACATGACGCAGGCCTGGACAGCAAAGACTGCTGCCCTGCCAGGACTACAGGGTGTACAGGGGCCCACACGTGCACACGTGTGTCTGTGTGCAGGTGTCTGTGTGCAGGTGTGTCTGTGTGTCTCCATGTGTTCACGTGTATGTGTGTATCTGTGTGCATGTGTGCTCTGTGGGTGTTTGTGCAGGTGTCTGAGTGTGTGTGTCTATATGTGTGTATGTATGCATCTATGGGCATGTGTGTGTGTGCATCTATGTGCATCTATCTGTTTGCAGGTCTCTGTGTTCATGTCTTTTTGTGTGCACGTATGCCTCTGTATGTGTGCACATGTGTGTCGGTGTGCATGTCTGCGTGCATGTGTGCAGGTGTGTCTGTGTATGAATCTCTGTATCTGCATATGTGCCTTTGTGTGTGTGTAGGCGTGTGTGTATGTGTGTGTCTGTACATGTGCTTGTGTGTATGTGTCTGTATGTGTGCAGGTGTGCCTATGTGTATGTGCATGTGTGTGCACTGCGTGTGCATGTCTCTATGTGGGTGTGTCTGTGTGCATGTATGTGCATGTGCATGTGTGTAGGTGTGTGTCTGTGTGTGCACATGTGCCTATGTGTATGTGCACGTGTGTGCAGGTGTTTGTGTGTGCACGTCTCTCCATGTGCCTGCATATGCACATGTGTCTCTGTAGACATTTGTGTGCACATGTCTCTGTACATAAGTGCATGTATGTGTGCACACATACTCATGTGCATGCATATGCATGCATGTACTCACATGTGCACGTGTCTGTGTGCATGGGTGTCTCTGTGTGTGCCCATGTCTATGTGCAGGTGTCAGTGTGTGCATGCCTGTGTGCACACGTGTGTCTGTGTGCATGTGTGTGGGTAGGGCTGAGTCCTTTATCTACCTGGAATCCTGGCCCCGAGCTTCCCCTGAGGTGCTCTTAATTCAGGGTCAGGTGTGGTCAGGTCTCCCAGCACGGCCAGTCCCTGCCCCCCACCCAAGCCCAGCCCTGCCACGGCCTGAGCACGCTGTCCTGGCCAGGCCACCTCGCCGCTTCCCCGCACATTAAGGTGCCGCTGTAGCTGGAGAAGGCCTGGAGCAGGCCCAGACCCGCTCCAGCCCGGTGGACGGTGCGCGTGGAGTGGGGTCCACCGGGGGCTGCCGGCTCCTCCCCTCAAGCTCCCAGCGGCACTCAAACATGGTGCCAGGGCGACCATCCCTGCCCTCACGCCATGGAGTCCGTGCTGATGACACGTGCCCCCTAACTGAGGCCAGCGTGTAGGGCGTCATCTCCGAGACAAGGGGCAACGCCCCTCTCCTCCAGTGTGGGGGCATTCTCGCAAGAGTTTTCCATCGCAAAGAAGCGCGATTCACGCAGAGGACACGTTCTTCTGAAGAGGACACAGGCGGCGCAGGAAGCCAGAGCCCGTCGTGGTAACTCACGGCTCAGTGCGTTTACTAGTGCCCGCCGTGGAGGCGGCTGTGTCCGGAAAAGGGTTACTTCCAGGGTGAGCAGCGATACGTGGCCCTTCTAGCCCGCCCTGAGACGAACAGCCGAGGAGAGGTCCCGGCCCGACCTGTATATGAACAGCCTTTAGAGAGAAGAGGCACGTTGGCCTAAGTATAATCCTAATTTTTGGTTTAGGTTTTGTTTTAGAATAGATGCAACTAGCATTTAAAAGAAGTTCACGTTTTCGGTGGCTGAGATCCCCATGCTCCAAAGTATTGGCTGTGTCCAGGCTACGTAGAAGTCCTCACGGCCTCCCCCGCCCCCACGGACTGAAGTTCAGGCGCTGTGAACACAGACGGCCGGGGCCAGCAGTCGTCCTGCGGAGAGTTCTGGCGGGGACAGAACTTGGGGCACTGCGGGTAAGGTGTCGCCGGGCCGCAGAAGCACGCAGTGGGGCCATCAGCCATCTGAGAGCTTGCTGTCTCTGAGTGGGGTCAGAGCTGGGCTGGGCGGGATGCTGGCAGTTCACACACCAGAGGGCTGGCCGTGTCTGCCACTGCATGAGCAGGTTGTCCACAAGAGTCCTGGCTGGGACGCCGGCAGACCACGGAGGGCGTGCGTACCCCTCTGACTCCCTCCAGGCTGACTTAGTGAGGGCGTGACGAGAAGCAGCCCCTGCCCCGGTGGGAGGGATAGTCTCACACGTGGCAATGTTCCCGCCAGACACTTACTCTGCTTGGTTTCGTCTCTGGCCTGCGGTCTCCGTGGGTCCTCAGCCACTGGGAGGCGGGCTCAGGTGAGGTGTGTGCAGCCAGACTCTGCCTCCCCTCCCTAGGAAGAGCCTGCCCTCGCAGACCCCCACCCCACTCAGAGCCGAGACACGCTTCTTGTACCCGGAGGCCAGAGGGCCGAGCAGCCGAGTGTGTCAGAGTTCACGCCAGACCTGTGTGCGGCGCCTTCACTCCCCCCGCTCCCACCCGCATGTGACGACACACAGCTGCTCTCGTGGGAACAGCCCTGCTCTCTGGGGACGCACCGAGCCAAGTGCCATCTCCGGTGCGGGACAGACCCAGAGCAAAGCCGGCAAAACCCGCTGTCTCGCTGGTGTTTGATGTGTCCTGTCCCCGGCCAGCTGTGACGCTGTGTTGGAAGTGACAAGAGGGATCCCCAGCAATTCCGTCTGTTGGCGCCCGGAGCGGCTTTCTTCTGCCTGTTAGGGTCCGGGGGGGGGCTGCACCCCCGAGGCCTGTGCGTCCTTCCTCAGGAAGGGCGCACTGTAGCAGGGACAACCAAAGAT